CTAATGATAATAAACCCCTTAAAAGTGAGCTATTCTGATCTCTTGTAATCCTTCTATATTTATATAGTGTAAGGTTATTATTCTAGGTTGTATTATGTGTTATGTAAGACCCAGAATCAAATCATAAGCTATTTCTCTATCCCCCTGAACAGCCACAATGGAAGCATTACTATATTTTTTTCCTACCTTTTTTTAAATCTCTAATATTTTTTTCAGAAGTAAACGGTTTTTTTGGTATGCTTAAGGCCATCATTTCCTTACTGTCTTTTAAAGAGAAGAAAAATAGGTTAGTGAGTAAACATTTCATTTCACTTTTAAAATTGGCCTAAGAAATGCAGACCAGCCTATTTTTTTAAAAAGGGATTAAAGAAAGGTTTCAGAAAGGAAAGGGATACTGTCAGAGTGGGCCAATATCTGCAACACAGAATAAGGTATAATTCTAGGAGGTGCTTCTGCGGGCAAGGCTGGCACTTCTCCCTTCCCACCCAGAGTAAGAAGGGAGAGATCAAAAGTAGGATGAGCCCCAAGACACGTGGGCAAATGTTCAAGTTCTCCACTGAGGAGAGTTCCACTTTTGAGTTGGGCTGATGACTGTCAAGATGTCAAAGACCATGACTACTAGGCAGACAAGCTATTGTGCTCAGAGTACCTTTGAAGGCAGCTGTACAACAATGCTTGAGTGTATCCTATATTATTTTTCAGTCAAAATGTAATGTTTCCTGTGCAAAGATAATCTCAATCTATAATTAGTAATTTACCAAACCATAATTCTGATTAGAGATGAACTTTGCTTGAAAAAAAATATTTTTATTTACATTTCTACAGTACTATATTTAGAAGGCACCTTCACATATAGTTCATATTTGATCCACCCAAAGAAGGATGAAGGTCAAATACTATCAGCCACATTTTATGGGGCTTGGAGAGTTTACTCCAAGTTTCTGCATGCTAAAGGATATCTAGCAATTTAAGTGCTGGAACTCCGACCCAAAAATCAGATCTCAAGGCTCTTAATATAGGGAAAATGTCACAGAATGGGGGTGGAGAGAAATAACATTTAAATGGCAGCAGAGAAATCTGAGTTTTAATCCTGAAACTTCACTACCACTACCTAGTAAAGCAACCTTAAACACATCACTGAATTTCCAAAGGCCTCATGTGAAAAAGGAGAAATCTGGACTAGATGTTTTCAGACGTTCATTCAAAAATAGTTATTAAGCCTAATATGTAGGCACTAGGAAATATAAGATAAATAAGACTAGGCTCTCTAAATAAATAACTAAAATAACTCACAGATTAGTGGATGAGACACACACATGAACAAAATAACCAAGAAACAATGTGATAACAACAAAAGGTAACAGTTTTGTGATGGGCAGAGAGGAGTAACTCAGCAAGGAATGAGGCTGGGAATTTAAACCTGAATTGTCTTAAAGGACGAAAAAAGTACCCAGGCAAATAGAGGACAGAAGGACACTCCAGTTAGAGGGAACAGCATAAACAAAGGCCCAGGGGAGACAAGCAGCACAGCGTGTATAGGGAGCTATAAACAGTTCCGCACTGCCAAAGTATAATCGCACAGCAAAGGGCAATGAAGCAAGAGTTGAATGCAGAGGCCAGCCTGAGGAGAGCCTTGTATGACACGCTAAGGAAGCTGGACTTTATCCAGTAGGCGATGAAGATCCAGGGCAGAATCTTCACAGGGGAATGACATAGTCAGGATTAATTTTAGAAAGATCACTTTGACAGTTATGTGAAGGAAGAATATGAGGGGCAGAAACTAGAGGCGGGGACTCCAGTTAAGTATCTATAGCAGAGATGATGAGAGTTCTAGGGTGATTACAGGAAAGGACATAAGTTCAAGAGATAAGAAGCAAAATCAGCAGGATTAGAAAAGAATTGGGAGTGAGGTGAAGATGTGAAGAAGCAAAAAAGGCACAGAATGGATCCAGGTTTCTGTTCAAGACAGAACTGAGATACTGAATATAGGGGGAAAAGTTGACAAAATTACCTTGAGTTCAGCTTAGGACATCTTGAGTCCAAAAACCATCCAGGCAGCGATGTCCAGCAGTCAACTGGATATAGTAACCTAACACTCAGAGGAGAGGCCTGCCCTGAAGATATGTAAGTATGGGAGGAAGCTGCATACAGGTGGCAACTGAAACCTTCAAGTGAATGTGACCCCAGGGAGAGGGTTCAAAGTGAGAAGAGTCCTTGGCCAGAGGCCAGAACCCAGTGAAACACCAAAACGCATGCAAGAGGCAAAGAAAGAAACCCAGAGAGAGGCATCCCAGAACACAACAGGCGAGATTATCCCCAGAAGGAAGTGGTGATCAACAGAATAAAATGTAGCACGGATGTAAATCAGGAAAAGAACTGAAAAATGTCTACTAGTCTTAGTAACTTAGTGGTCACGGGAGAACTTACTACAAGTGGTCTCAATCAAGTGAATAAGAGAGAAAGCTGGACTGCAGTGGACTGAGAAGTAGAAACAATGAGTACAGAGAATCTTTTTGGAAATTTTAAATCAGAAGAGAGGGGATTTGAAATTTAACGAAGACTGGAAAGACCAATTCCAAGTCCCTTCTAGTTCTCATACTTTAATTTTTCATATAGATAAAAAGCTTAGTTTGGTAAAATTCCATTAAAACCCACATAAATTTGAAGTACTGTTTTTAAGTAACGGGAAAACAGGGGACTTGTACTGTAGCTATCAATGGAATATATGTAGATATAACACTTCCCAACACACCTCAGAAATACCCTGTAAAATAGTCTCTTGTTGCATATTCTAAAGGGGGCTAGGGCAAAAGGGAAACTGTAGGTGAAGTAGCCCTCTTTTGCTCCAACTCTTCCTTCTCTTAATGTCTCATAAACACATTCTTTGTCCTGGAATGTCCTTCTCCTCTATTTTAATTTGCTTAACTCTTACTCCCTCTTCAAGGGCCTGCTCAAACTCCCCCTCACAGAATGTTAAAGACAAAAAGGGCCTTACAAATTCATTGAATCCACGTGTTTTCACTACGCTGATAAAGGAACTGAAGACCAGAGCTTCAGACAACAACCTGCCCAAGGTCATACTCGTGGCTTATGGCAAAGCCGAAACGCGCACTGTTTCTGCCACCAGTGCCCATGTCACTACTCATTATTTCCTCAGGTAACTGTTCTTTATAAAATTTAAGATTTCAATAAGTCAAGCTTTAAGAATAATCAATTTAAAACAGTTTATTTAGTATAAGATCCATATTAATACACTTCTGAAAACTAAGGAGCTGGTCTATAACTTTACTTGTTAGTTTGAGTCAACTACCTACAACTACTTGATTGTACGAGTAAAGATTACAGATGTCAACTAATATTTATTTCGTGGATAAGCTGACTGTCAGTCACTAAACAGGATCTCTCCCCAAGAGTACAGCATTTATTTCAGCCTCTGCCAGTGGAAGTATTGCAGCAGATGTTGGCAGACTGTGACATACAGTATGTCTTTAAAATTTGTTGGGGTGTGAAATTTCATAAGGTCAAAAAATGCTGCATGTTGATCAGCAGATACAGGAGTTCTGTACTTTTATAAATTATTTCAGACAAACCAATAGCATCTGCTAGTAAAATAAAGAAACCAAGAAACCATACTGGCTTTAGGTAGGATATGACAATGTACGCTGTTAATGTTTTAAAAGCCAATTTCTATTACTTTAAAGCAAATGTTCACCTGAAAGATCTTTAGAAGGAAAATGTGTTCTTTAAGTCAATACGAAATACAAGATATTATTTCAATTGACAATAGAACTTTTAAAATAATTTTCTACTGAAAGAAAGCCATAAATAACTAATGAGCATTTTGGTGGGGGAAAAAACGATTCCCTTAACTAATATATACATATAACAGTTTTCTCATTTTTTAAAAAATAAATCCCTATATAAGAATCCACTTATATAAATAGAGGTTTCTGTGTTTTTTTAAAGCTAGTAACCTTATCATTCAAATGATTTCATAAACGCTTTGGTTTATTGTTTTATGTTATTCTTCAAAAAAAATTAAAAGATAGTATCCATAAAAAAGGCTGGGGCTCTGTATAATGGTAAAATGACTTTTATAACTTTCAAGGACTTTTGTTATCTTGGATTTTTTGATGTTGCTATTTTATCGTATTTTTTATTTTTATTTTTTTGCTTCAATTTTCCCTCCTATCTTTTCCAAATATGGCTAGTAGATAACAACATACAACCAAAATCAAAATCAAGAATGGTGTCTAGTTAAAAATTTTATCTCAATGGTACAGACTTTAGCTCTTATACAAGTTTATTTCAACTTAACTTTTAAAATGCCTTATTTTTGAATTAACACAGAAAAACCCTTTCATCGGTTAATCAGTAATTTGAACATTCTGAAGAGCCTGGACATAACATAACAATAATAATCATCATTATCATCATCACTATTTTTCAGTTTATTTTGTGCTATATTCAAGCAAATATATAATTTCTAAATAAATTTAAATTACAAACATTTTTGTTAGATATTTGTAAGTAAGAAAAACTTAACTACAAAGAACATCTCCCTGAAAAATAATTCCTAATGTAAATCACTTGCTTCTCATCATACAGTCAATCAAAAGAGCCAAGACCGTGACAGGAAACTCGGATTAGAAATGCACTAAGTACTGCAACACCTTACAACCAAGCTCACTCCAGCAACCGAGGTCAAAGGTCTTTGTTTACATTTTATCAAGAAAAACTTGAGGTACACATTTGGGGAATTGTGTGTATCACATTCAAGTTCTAACTATAAAAGATATTAAACTATATTACATAAGACCACATACTATCGATAGTCCCTAGGCTAAGAAACTGAAATTCTATCAAAGCTGAAAATTTCTCTGCTACTAAACACAAACCTAGACTTTTTCATAGGATTCTCATACATCCTAAGACATCTGACACATAAGGTCACACAAATAAACAAACACGAGGTGAGTCGACAACCGTAATTAACTTACTTGCCACTGAGAAGTTGTTGAGCGGATAAGGTAAATCCACATCTTGGGGTTTCTCTTTATATCCTATGAACGAGCCATCTGTCTTCAAAAGGAAATATCTTGGCCTCCAGTTTTTTATATATTCTCCTACATGAGGAAAGCATGCATGTTAACACTGGGGAAAAAAATGAACAGCAGCTTTTATGTGAAAAATAAATTATGGTACAATATATGTCCTACAACACTGGCCTCCAAAAATTTAGTTAGGCAATTTTCTTTTAACTTAGCTTACAAAAGAAAATACATAAGCCTGCAATTAAGATTCAATAAAAACCCAAACATGTTTTGTTTTTAATGATCTCACACTTTGATAATTCATTTGCACCATTATTTCTTCAGAGAATCATTCATCTGAGTACACATTTTGTTCAGTTTTTCATTTTATCAGATGGTTGTTAGAGCATATTTTCAGCCGTTTTAAAAAGCCTTAGTAAATCATCTACACAGTAGCAAGGAATTGCGATGAAAAACACTTATCATAAGAGGGATATGACATAGATGTTTCTCTTTTATGTACCACTGACTAATTGTGTCATTTTTTTAGAAGAAAGGGAAAAATGTCTATTTTCATTGTTAAATCTTAATCATAACTTGCTTAAACATTTTATTGTTCTGCAGAGGAAAATAACCTTCTGTACAATGCTGTAAATAAGTCAAGGAAATGAAAGAACATGGGTTAATAGAGCATAAAAACCATACACATGCTCACACACACAAACATAACTGTAAGAACACGTGGTACATTGCCAAGCCCATAAGAGTCAAGAAATGTATATCTTATCAGATTTTGACATAAGCTATCACTTAGCTACCAAAATATAAATTTTTAGCAACCAGATCATCATTTGCTTACCCCATAAAGGACTCCTCAATTTTAATTTCAGCAACAGAGGTGCTCCTTCACACCACAAGAGCAGGAAGGCTACCTGGTCTCAACTTTCAGTCCTCTACTGGATATTTCTACCTGGTATTTCAATCTCAAATGCTTAATCATAGTACTACAGGAATTTGAAAGCAGTTCAACTTTCCGTGCAAATCACCTTTTCCTGACTCCCCTTACCTAAGCTCAAACCTAACACCTGACCACTCCCTCCCCTCATCCTATCAGCAGCTGGGTCAATACTGCCTGCCCAAGTCTCTCTCACTTAGCCCAACCCAAACCGGGCCCCAACACCTTTCATCTGCCCTTCTGCTAAGGCGCTGTGACTGCTCTCCCATTCTACACATCCCCTTCCATCCTAATTAGCATCTATCACCGCCAGATGAATCTTAACGTCTGTGTGTACCACTTTGATTGTATGACCTTTCTGCTCAAAAATATTCTGACTCCTACTACCATTTACTATAAAGTACAAATCTCTTAGCATAAAATGTAAGCTCCTCCATAATCTCACCCCAAAATATATTTCAGAAATGGAGTCCTTCCTCTGAGTCAGCAATTCTCAAACATCTTATCTCAGACTTCTTTACACCCTTAAATATTACTGAGAACCCCAAAAATTTTTTATGTAGATTGCATCCATAATGTTTACTGTATTAGAAATTGAAAAGAAAATCTAAATTATTTTATTACTTCCTTTAAAAATAACAATAAACCCATTATGTGTAACAAATATTCTTATGAAAAATAATTGTTTTCTAAAAAGAAATTAGAGAGAAGAGCAGAACATCTTTACATTTTTGCAGATCTCTTTAATGTTTGGTTTAATAGAAGATAGCCAGATTCTCATATCTACTTCTGCATTCAATCTGATGCAGTATGTTGTTTTGGTTGAAATATAGGAAGAAAATCTGGCTCAAACAGATATGTAGCTGGAAAAGGGAAGACTATTCAAATAGTTATGGATATCTTTCTCTGATACTACACCAGCATTTGACAAGTGGTAGTTTTCTAAAAGGTTAATCACAATGTGGAGTTTAAACCATATCAATGAACTTTCCGTACTCTATCATGTGAAAATCCATTGGTCTATACGGCACATTGAATGAATCTTTTACTCTATGCATGATTTTGTAACAGTACTCATTGGTCATTTAGAAAATACTGGTCCACCGAGTAATAATGATCTTCCAAATATTGACACATTTCGTTACAAAATCACATTTGTTATCACTACAAATCACATCAGAAAAGAAAGAACTGGGAAGCTGTCAAGCTCACAATGGCAGATATGTTCTCCAAAATTCTAATTTTTGCTTGAAAATTTGATTTTCACCATTGGCAGGAAATATTATCAGCTCTTCTTCTTTAAAGTGATGTGCTCGAAGTGCCCAATCTAGTGCCTACCACTTGATCAATGGTCAACAAGAATTTACTAAATGAATGAATGAACGGAGGACATGCATATGAACATCTTCCCCACAGGTGTACAAGCACACAAGAGGAACTTCAAGGGAAGGAAAAGAAAACCTGCTGCCTCTCCTCACTTTGTTTTACTGAAAAAGTATGGCCCTAATGTTAACAAATACATGCCAAATTTATAGAACCAGAATGTTAAACTCACAGTTCCCATTAAAAAAATGAAACAGTGGGAGATAAAAACCACCACCACCACCACACACATAGATGCAGAGAACAGATTGGTGGTTACCAGATTGCGGGGAGGGGCAAACGGGGTAAAGGGGGACATCTGTCCCGTGACAGATGGAAACTAGACTTTTGGTGGTGAACGTGAGGTAGTGTATACAGAAGTCGAATTCTCATGGTGTACACTGCAATCTATATAATGTTATAAACCAATGTTACCTCAGTAAATAAATAATGTAAAAAACAAAAAAAAATTAAACAAATTAATCCTTTCTTGATTGTACTTATTATTTTTCCACTTGTATTTAAGTACTCCTACATAAAATTTAAAATTATTAGATATTAATTCTCTAATTAGTGATATAATATTTAGATTTCAAATACTATTATAAAATAACAGATTTATATTGGTACAAGATGCTGTAACTCTGTCAAGCTAAATAATAAATAGTTTAATAATTATACTAAAGATAAATGAAACAAATTCATTTTAAAAATTTAAAAGAAGAAAAAATGGGATAACACCATTTCTTCTTATTTTTTAAAAGCACTGAATACACTTATTCAAAAAATGTGAAATAAAAACCAAGTGTTCATTTCTAAGAATAATTTCCTGTCAGTCACTAAGCATTTACATGCTCAGATGAAAGACACAAAATTTCATCACATAAATCATATATCTTTTTTATTAAAAAAATCTTAGGAAATTTAAAATATTTTATGTGGTCTATAGCAGGACTTCTGGTTGCCAAAAAGTTCTTTAAAAATAAATCTATAAAGCATCGCTGGCACATAATATAGTATACCAAGACAGTGAGATAGATGGTCGACTATTCACACAGGAGAAAAACTGAAAAGTCAAAATTTCCCTTCTTGATAAGAGAAAAATAAGTATTATTTCTCACACAATTTTATTAATAATTTTGAATTGATTCAGTTAATCAACAATTGTACTGTCATACTAAGCTAACAGTGGATCTCAAACTTTCAATGAAGACTCCTGAATACAATTTTTGTTTTCTTGTCATTTTTCATCTATAATATGAATGGTCTTTCTGACAAGATACTTAAGAGTGCGTTCATTTATTTATTAATTTGTTCTAGGTGCTGGGGACACACTAGCAACAAAAAAAAAGGTCTCTAGCCCATAGAGCTCATATTCCAGTAAGACACTAGATTTCACGTGGCCCCTAAAATTTGGAGAAGGGTTCTGAATATTTCCTGAAATCAGATTCTTTTTTATAGGTTCCCTTTAACATTATCAACTAAAGTTCATATAATAGCATGATGTGTTGGCCTAATTAAATATTCATTTTCTAGTTCCAAAAGTAGAACTGAGAAGAGGTTCTTTTTCCTCCAAAGGAATGGGTCTTACAAAGGACACAAACTCACAAGGTAAGAATTAGAAAAGCAAGCTTTATTGCCTCCTACTAGACCCAGTACAGAAGAAGATTCCTAGCTAAAAAATTACAGCTGTTCATGACACCTTGGCAGGACCCTGTGCACGCTGGTGGCAAAGTAGAATTGTTCCCGCGGCCTTAGAGTTCCCAAGAAAACTGGACCTTGTCCAGCTGGTCATGGAAGAGAAACGGAACACTTTGCTCGCTGACTCAGAAGTTGAGGCAGTGAGAGTTCAGATAAGGCACATGTTCTTAGGCTGTTCTCAAAATATGGCCAAAAAGTCCTGGCTTTTATGGAGCCATGTGCCCAGAGCAAACGTACCCTCTCTGCCATCAAGCCCTTTAAGACAGACTGCTGAAGTCAACCACATCGTATATTTTAAACATAGCATTTACATCTAAGTTTATACCTGCTGCATTATAAGCCAAGTTGCATCATACTTTATATTTATAGTCCATAGGTTTCAACTAATTTAAGAGAGAACCTGCTTATAATGGGAAGAAAGTCTGTTAAATAAAGAAGTAGTATTTATAGGGTACCATGTCCTCTGAAAAAACTGTTCTGTGGATACCGACCAACACACCTTCAAAATTTGTATGCACTATCATGATAAACCTTCAGCAAGCACCACAGTCACATCTGGACAAGATTTCCAACACAACCTCTTCCCAACTTTCTGTCTACCTTAAGGGGGGCTTCCAATTCTTTCTCATAACCCTTGGCTGGAGGCTTTATGTGTTTTGAAATATGCTGTTACCAATATCAAAATACATATATTTCCCAACAAGAATTCAGATATTTTGGCTTCTGTAGTGGGCTGAATGGTGAACCTCAAAAGATATGTATACGCCCTAACCCCTGGAACTTGGGAATATCACCTTATATGGCAAAAGATGTGATTAAATTAAAGATTTTGAGAAGAACAGCTTATCTTGGAATATCTGGGTGAGCCCTAAATTCCATTACAAATATCCTCGTAAGAGTGAGGCAGAGGGGGATCTGACACACAGAGACGAGGAAGAGGCCATGTGGCCACAGAGTGATGCACAAGCCAAGGAACACCTGGTGACACAGAAGTGCAAGAGGCAAGGAATGGATCCTCCTTTAAAGCCTCCAGAGGGAGTGGGACCCTGCTGACACTTTGATTTCTAACTTCTGG